TGACCTAAGCTAAGCCAGGATAACCTTGTGGGGAAGACAAAGACTAAAAGCTGTCCCAGGAAGGTGGCTGATCCTGGTGTGCTGGGGAGGGGATCTGGGATGGCCCCACACACCTCTATTGCAATGCACTTCTTGCCTCCTGCCTGCTCCAGCCGCAGAACCATACCTGGCATCTCAGTAGTTGAAACCCATACATGCTGCTGATGTGGCCCGTTCTCCTGGTCCTTGTGGTGTGGGTGTTACCCACCAGCACAGGGGATCAATTCTGTTTCCATCTTGCGTTCACTAGAAACCATCTGCCACCATGGTGTCCCTGCCCATTGCAGGTGGGTTGGATCTAGATGATCTTAAGGTCTTTTCCAACCCAAACCATTCTGTGATTCTGTCGTGGCAGGAGTAAGAATTGTGCCTGACAAGCTTGCCGCTTGATATGGAAATACCTGGTAAATACAATTCAATGGACTAACCTACAGAGATGCACCTTTCATCACACTGAGGTGCCTTCCAATGCCATGGGTGTGATACCACCATGCTCCCACACAACATCACCAGAGGTGCACCCGGTGGGTCTTGCCTGCCCAGGACCAGCACCTGAGGATCCCACAGATCCTGCTGGAGCCCCATCCCTACCACAGCCTCCAGGCCTGGTAATGGAGCACCAAGGTGGGGAGGTGTGAGCCACGTGTGGAGGTATCTGGCAGGGCCTCCTCCAATGGGAATCATGGCTGCCAGGCCTCTCCTTGCCCTATTGGCTGGCTGAGGTGGGCGGGGCCTCCAGCCCCCAGCTGATGTAAATGAGGCTACACCTCCTACCAAATCAGGAGTGCTACTGGGTGGTCACATGGTGACCTCACGTGATGATCACCGCGTTATCAGGCTCCGTCCCCATCGAGGCTGACGTCACGCCTCCAGATCTCGCGAGAGGTCTCAGTGGTGCCCCTCACAGGACGAAGGCGGGAGGGGCAGGTGGCAGGGGAGCAGGTGAGCCCCTCCCACATCAAGCCCCGCCCATCTCCCTCCGGGGAGCCAATGGGCTCACTGACCCATATCTCTTCCCATTGGACGTCATGCAAATGAGCCTCTACGTCACTTCCTGGGATAAATCGAGCGCCATTTTCTCTTTCTGGCTCTCGATGGGGAGCGGGTGGAGGCTGAAGGGTGGGAGCGGGGCGGCGGGAGCTGCTCGCGTGGGTTGAGCCAAGGTCGGGCCCGGACTCCGGCGATGCTGGTGCCGCCGCAGCCGCCCTCGCGGCGCGCGGAGTAGAGCGCGACAAGCAGGAGGAGGAGGAGCCGCGGGGCGGGGCGGCGGGCACGACACGGGTGGGGCGCGGCGGGGCGGCCGAGTCGGCGGCGGGGCCGGCGCTGTGAGGAGCGGGAGGCGGAGGCTGCGGCGCGGGACCGCAACCCCACAGGTGGCGACGGCGGCAGCAGTGAGAGCGGCAGCGGCGGCGGGCGCCCCCTGCAGCCCAGCCGGGTAGGTGCAGTGGGGTAAGCCGGCTGCGCCCGCAGGCAACCCGCCCCGAGGAGCGCGGGGGAGGCGGAGCGGGAGGTGAGCGGCGTGGGCAGAGCGGGCACACCAGTGGGTGCGAGGCGCATTGCTGGCGACCGTCTGTTAACGGCGACTTTAGCCCACCTACTGGCTCTGCTCGCCGTGGCAAGGCGCTCAGATCCCAGATCTCGCCTCGCTGGGAGCCGGTCCGCCAAGCCGTGGGATCTGGTCACTGCCAGGGTGTGTTGAGCCTTCGCAGCGGTGGAGATCCTGCGTCTCCTTGCCCGGGAGGCACCGGGGGGCGCCGGAGGCATCTATGCTGAAGCCCACGCGGTAGCTGGATGGCTCCAGACGTCCCGCAGGTGTCGGCCCCGGGCTGTCATGTGCTTTGCGAGTACCGCCGGGCTGTGCCGGTGCTCGTTGCCACTGCGTTGCAGCCGGCTAAAGGGGCGCAGATGGCGCAGGGCTGTGGGCGCCCAGCCTCATCTCCCTGCGCGGTGGTGACCGCCGGTGTCTGGCGGGCCGTGCCGGCCGTAACTAACTTTGCTAAAGTACGACAGAGTGCGCCCTGTTCCTTCCAAGGCGGCCCTCATGGGCTTCAGTGGGAATACCCCCCCTCCCCGGTCCGCAGCGCACACGAGCAGGGGAGGGGAGGGACTTCCGGGTGTGCCCGTGGTCGGAAGTAGAAATTAGCTTAATGAGACAAGTCTAACAGGGAGTTGTCTCTGCTTTGAGTGCTGTTTACTGAGCAGTTGGTTTGGATCACTTCTTTTTATTCTTCTAACTTCTGTCAATACTTAGGCAGTGGAGCATGTAAGAAGCCAACTTGACAAGTTGTCTCGAAGTCTGTGCATGATTTTAGACAATAGGGTTGTCTGAAACAGTTCATGGAAAACTGTGAGGTGCACGGAAGTAGTTTGCATGCAGAATTAGAACAAAAATGTTAATGGAATACAAAATTGCATTACATATTCTGGTGGTACTTCAGCAATACATAAATAAAAATAAAAAGCTTATGGATGAGCAAACATATCCTGTACAATGCAAATCATTAAAGCCATTTGAATACGTGTGCCTTGCACTTGAGAGCAAGCAGTGGGAAGTTCTTTTGGTCCTGCATTGTAAACGGAATAAAGGATAGATATTTGACTTTTGCTGCAATGGTTCATAGTACTGTACTGTCAAAATTATGAACAGCTCCCTTTCAACTGATAAATACTGAAGTTTGGACCAGTAAACTATTTGGGGAGAACTGGTTATTTTCCTTAACTGTGTTCTATAATTAAAAAATACATGTTTGAGCCCCTTAAAGTTTTAAATACTTAAAATACAAGGGAAAGACTCAGTCTTGGGATCTCCAGTCCAGTCTATATCCTAGAAATCTTAGTGATATTTTAGTAATTTTGAACAAGAAAAGGGATTTTTTTTTTAGAGCAATATTTAACCATGTATGTAACAAATATATTAGAAGCTGTAATAAAAACTGGAGTTCTCATAGTTCATTTATTAATGAAATTTTATTAAAGTTTTGTCCAAAAAGCAACAGCCCTCCCTGAAGATGTAGCAAATCTTCAGACACAATGAAGAGCACAGAAACAGTTTCATAGTGCTTTATGCGTTACCCCTGAGAGCTCCTTGGTTTGTGTTAAGTTTTACTGAATGCTGGAAAAGCTGACTTGTGTTTAAACAATCTTTCTGATGACACCTGTAGTGTAGCTTTATGTTTTTTCAGTTGTCCCCTTGCTGAATTTCAGACCGTAGGTTATCTGCTATCTGTTACGTGCATCTACGTGGAATGTCTTTGGGTCATATCAGGCTGACTAATACAATACAAATGAAGTTGTACTTCTCCCTAAAGTTGCTGGGGTTGGTGTGTGGCTCATTTGAGTAGGCTCCATGTAGGTGTTTAAGTTACACGGAGTGAGCTTAGGTCCTGCTGGGTTCAGTTTCAGGCTGATGATGATCCCTAAGGGAGTCTAGCTCTCCTATGAGTCACAGTGCTCTAGGAAGGCTCCATGAATTTGAATGGTATAGCCCTTTCTTCTGTCTAATCTTGGATAGTGGAGGCTTGACTGTGTGTTAATGAAGCGTCACAATAGTTATTTAAACCACAACAGCAAAAGTAGTGATCTAAGTTTGTTTTGATTGGACATCTTAAGTAAGATGCAGGTTGATGCACTGTATTTTTATCCATGTAATCACGTACCTTAATGCTTTTTACTGTGTTAGCAACTACTGAATGATGGCAATCTTTATGTTGGATTAAATGGCCATTTTAACGGGTGTGTGATTACTAGCTAAGAAAGAGCAGAATTATTGTGACTATAAGAGATCTGTAATTTGAGACTCCCAAAAGTTTCCAATTTAGTTGCACCAAAAAGAATTGTTTATTCACTTTTTTTTTTTTACCCTGGGTTTTCTGTCAAGATAAGGTAGAGTTATTTTGTTGACCAGAACTACTCCCAGTAAGTTTTATTAGTCTAATATAATTGACAGTAAATGAAATATTAAGAAAAATATTCATTCTAATTAAATGACTCTTTTTCTTTCCAGGAATAAAATCTCTCAATGCTGTTAAAACACCTAGAGATATTGTTAGGCAACTATACATGTTTCTTTCCTCTCCCTCGAAAGGCTGGATAAGCTTTGATGGTGCCAACATACCCGTAAATCCAGTTAGGTCTCTTTCAGAAGGCACAGATAACAGTCCAGGGAATGGAACCAACCATCTGCGTAATAACACGGTTGAGCAGATGTCCAGGTATGACTTCTTGGATGGCTTGTAAGCTTATCAGAAAACGAAACAAGAATAATTGAATTTCTAAAGCATTTCTAAATATGAAAGGACAAAATTTCACAAGCCTTTCTTAATTTCCCTACTACAAGTGATTCTGTGAGCAGTGGCCTAGTGAAGGCCAGCTTCCTAGGGACACATCTGGAGATCTGGCTTCTGTGTAGGTTGTCTGGCCTCTAAAAAGGGTTACACTGCAGCCTTTTTCTCTGTGGACCTTCTAATAGGATTTCTCTCTAATTGCCTGTTCTCATGAAATCTCTAGAAATACCTGATTATCTTGTTTACTGATGGATTTTGCAGGACATACCTGTATGCTCATGGAAAGCACATCTGTGCATCTACCCTGCTCCAGCTCCATACCAGCTTCATATTTAATTCTATTGTATATGTTTCCTTAGGACCACAAATGGTGCTGTTAAGGAAAAAAACCTTTCACTCTTACTGCAGTCTATCAGTGAAAAGTTGGCCAGAGAGGCTGTCATACCTCTGTCTATGGAGGTTTTCAGTTCGTTGCAGAGCCTGCTTTGACTAGGAGACTGGAATAGGTGCCTTCTTGAGTTCCCTTCCAAGGTGAATGAGTATTGTTCTAAGAAGTAGGCTAAAAGGAAAGCAAAAAGAAACTTTCTATTTTGTGGGACTTCTCACTTTGAAGAGGTGAAATGTTAGCATTTTTGCTTTTTTTTTTTTTTTTATGCAAAGATATTATAGTCAAGCGTAGTTACTTGGCAGAGTAGAAGTATTTGGCTAATAAGGTACTGTCCAGACTGCTACCTCGTTTTTTAGATTAGTATTAAAATACTATAATAATATTGGCAGAGTTGCATTTGTGATCTTTGTTGAACAGCTGAATGTAGTTGGATGTTATATGGAATGCAGGTGTTGTAGAAATGAAGGGAACCTTTAGTGTTGCACAGAACTCAAGTTTGCTGTATCATTGGAGAGGTGCTATCTAAATGAACTGTAAATGCAGCAATAAATTGATGGATAAAATGCCCGAGCAAGGGTTGAATGACCTTTTTAGAATTGAGTTTGGGGCATCAGCTGCTACAATTATTTTATTTTTATACTAACTTGCCTTTGTTCTGTTCATGCAAAAGTACGTTCATGAAATTAAAAGTAGCTTAAGATAAATTTGTCTTGTAGGTAGCCAACATGGTGAAAAGATCAAGACTCTTGGGTGCTAGAGTAGCTCAGGTTTAATTTGACTGTAGTGCCTTCATACTGAATTTGCTGGTTAAGAATGGGTTGCATATCAACAAAAGATTGACTGTAGTTATGCGTGGAAACAGTGGAAGCCAAAGCTTGAAGAATGTCAAAAATGCAAGAGAAATAAATAGTACTAAACAAGTATGGTTAATAAACTCTATAGTAATCAGGGAATTAAACTGGCATCTTGAGGGAATAAGCTTAGAATGATGAAATTTCGGTGACCTTTGTGATGGGGCGTTGCTGGTCTAATGGATACAGACCGTTAGATGAGTAAAATAGTCTTGGTCCGAAACAGTTTGTGGAAGTACCAACTGAATAATGTTGCACACGATACAGAAATACACATATTTTTGGATTGAAGATGAACTACTTGGAAAATGAATTATTTCTCATTTTGATTAATGACTTCCATTTCAGAAAGATTGCTGGTTAAGAAAACTTGAGATACATGGATGTTGCATTACTGTACCACCTTTGTAGACTAATGTTTCTTTTTTTATGAGATAGACATGCCTCAAGAAATGTCTGCTTCCTGTCTTCGGTAGCATCAATGTATCAGTTAAAGGACTGAGATGGAGGAAGTGTTTCCAGTGGAGCCTAACACACTGAACCACATATCCTTTTGGCTGATCTGAGCATGGTGACATCCTGTCAACTCCGTTGTTACCTTCAGTGGGCCATGGGGTTGGTGCACATAACCTGCTATCATAGAGGGACTGATCATAAAGCTTTAACCAGAGACTATACAAATTCCCAGTTGACTTCACTTTAAAAAGAGGATTTTACAGCTTTATTTTACTCCTTGGATTTTGATAGAGTGTCAGACTATTTACTCTGATTTATTCTATTCTGTCTAGGTTCCTGTTCCACACCTACCCCAATGGTATCAGAATGTCTTCCAGACTTCTTAGGGATAAAAACCATTAGAAAACAAGACTAGCATCTGTCAAATGGGGCTCCCTCTCCATTTCTTTCTGCATAGCTTTCCTTTGGGGGGAGAAGAAAAAGAGAATAGCATGTGAGTTATTTGAGCTTTAATTAAAAAACAGTTGCATGTTTTTACTTAAGGTTTGTTCTTTTTGTCTTGTTGAATGATGACACACAGAGTAGAAAAAGTGGGGTTTTGTTTATGGGTTTTTTTTGCGTTTATTTGTTTTTGGTGAGGCTCTGCTTGTGGATTCTGTCTTACATGGGAGGGTTTTTTGCTACTGTTTACAAGAAAGTCTTGCATTTTAATGCAAAGATTTCATGTTAACACTGATTTTTCTGATTTTTCCTTTTTTTTTTTTTTTTTGTTAAAGTATAGCCTTTTGAGACCTTAAGGACCTTCAAGTACTGTTTGGGGATTTTTTTTTTTCTTTTCCTTGCTAAAACTTGTCTTAGATGGATGAATCGTTTAGCAATAAGGACTGAGATCTTTTAAACTCTGTTAGGTCCAGCTAACTAAGAACAAAGAAATACCTGTGAAGCTCCGAGTGACCATTTTCAGTGTAGGTTAGTTCCTTTCCATTTTGTGCCAAATTAAGTTTCTTAAATCTCAGTCCAAAATGCATTGTGCTGTAATATAGATAAGAGGTGATAAAGGCACATGCTTCTAAGACCAAGAGTGTACCTTGTGATGTACTGGGAGCTAAAGATAAGCTAAACCCATGGGAATACTTTATGATATACTGGGAGCTGAAGATAAACAACTGATACATCCATAGCCCAGCTGCATGGGGAATGATGAAAGACTAGCTGTTGTGGAAATGCTAGGGATTCCTGGTGGTTATGCCCTAGACAAATGGGCAACCATGCTGTGCGCAACCCTTCAGATGGATGACCCATAGCAGATAATCTGTCTCTCTGTATACTGGACTCCAGCTTGCTGGAGAGAGTAGGGTAGGTTATAAATGCAAATTCTGGAGTAGGAGAAGCTGATAAAGGAGGAGACCTAAAAGCATGTGGGTGTGACAGAAATTTGTCCCACACTCAGTGTATTTAGCTATCAGTGCCATACATTAATTACATTTTATTTCTACTGAATTAATATTGTAGTACCTTGTTTTATGAAAGGTCCAGCATAACAGATTTTAATAGCATAAATTTCCTGTCTGCAGGAAATGTAGATTTTGTCATCAGTTATATTTTAAACATGTACATACCTGACTACAAACCAGATTATCAAAGACGCTCTTGACACTAACATTCAAGCTGAAAGGTGCTGAATTCCTCCTTTCTAAATGAGCTGAAACTAACTGGTGTTCATGTTCTCTTACAAAAAAAAGACAAAACATGGAATAACTGCCATATTCACACAAAGAAATCCGAAAGAAAAACTTGTGACTTTGTTTAGATAGAAGAAATGTAAAGGATCACCCCCAACCCTCCCCCCCCCCAAAATTCTGTTTCCTTTAAAAGGAAGCAACTTATCTACTGGGAAATATTAATGAGACCAGTTCTTTGGCTTAAGGCTTTTGCATTTTCATATTGAAGAATACATTTTTAAGACTTTAATACTTTTAAATGCAAGTGTCTATGTTCAAATATTCCATTCTTTTTTTTTTTTTAATTTCTTTTTCAGGAAAAGTGCAAAATGTTTCAAGTTCCTGTTCAAAATCTTGATAATATTAGGAAGGCTCGAAAAAAGGTGAAGGGCATTCTTGTGGATTTTGGGCTTGACAGCTGCAGGGAATTGTTGAAGGTAAAGCATTTGAAATAATGAAAGCAATCTGAAACATATTTCACTTTTTGTGTGTATATTATATCTGGCATAGATATTTATGGTGGGGATCTTTACTTATGACTGACCACTCATATGCCAGGGATAGAATTTACTGTTTTAGAACATAATGTTGACAGAAACTCAGTTTCGGAACAAGGTATGTTATAGATGGTGATGCATATTCTCTGCTAGTATTGAAGTATTCTTCAGCAAAAGGAAACAGTACAGCTTTAGGAAAAACACTGCAGACTAACAAAATATTTCCCAGCAACTTTCTTTGCATTCTTTTAAAAACATCGGAAAACGAAGACCTGACTATTCAGGGATATCCTGACATACATCAAGGGCAAGCCTCTGAAGGATATACAGATTTTCAGTATTTCTGAAAACAAACAATCAGTTAGACCCAGTATTCTCATTGCAGGCCTTTAAGCTTTATGTCCAGGGGAAACTATGAAACTTGTCTTACTGAGTTGTATTCAGTTCTGCATTTTTAAAATGTGTATGCAAGTGCACTGGAGCGATCAAGAAGACCTAGTACTATTGTTGCCCCTTTCAGGATGAAGTATTGTGGAACAATCAGGATGGATTCACACCATCAGATTGGCAAGACTAATGCCAGAAAAAGTGCAAACACTTGAGTAATGCAGCTCAATGACTACACAGTAGTGTATTCCAGCCAGCTGGTCCACAGGGTTTTTTTGGCAGTTTAGTGTGTTTATGTCTTTACATTGAATCAATGATTTGGATTAACTCTGGATGATGATGCTAAACTAGGTTAACTCTGTAGGAGTGCTGTTGTGTCTTTTGTGGTGTTTTTTCTGAACTGTGTATGTAAATGATTAAGACCTACATGCATAACTAATTCTGGATCATTTCTGGCTATTGCATTTAAAAATGTTTGATTTATCTAAATATGTCATAAGAGCTGAGGGAAAAGTGTATTTGTTTAATTTAAATTTTCATACTGTTCTAATTGTGTTGTATATTGTTTTGTAATTAAACCTCTGAGAAGCTGTTCTGTCTTGACCCTTTGAAGTAGAAATGTGTTGATGGTGCTATTCTTTTTTGCTATGAAATTGACTGCAGTTTAACTTTTTGATTGCAGTGTGGGTTTTAATGGTGAATGGGGAATAAGGTGTTGTTTTTTTTTTTTTTTTGTTCTCTTGGGGGGTGGTGGTGGTGTGTGTTTATTTGGTGGTGTCTCACTTTTAATAAATGGTGGTGGTGGTAATCCCAGCAAACATTTCCATTCTGGAAAAAGTTCTGTGAGATGTAGGCTATAAAGATACAGCTTTTTTTTTTTTTTTGCAAATAATTCTTCCTCAACCAAATTCATAACTTAAGTTTGTTTCTTTCAGGTAATCTGTGGCTGGTTTTGGTAGAACTTTAGCAGCAAGAAGAGTGGTTTTTAGAACTTGATTTGTAGTTGGCTCGTATGACGATGGTATTTCTTTTTGGTAGAACAGGGTGTGTGGTGTCTTAATAGATGAAGTACGTTAAGTCGTGTGTCCTCCTCGTCATCTCCCATCCCCAGTATTAGGATTGGTTTCTGGACATTCTCGTGTGAGGAGGCTGGACAACTTAGGAAACGGTAGGAAATGATGTGATACAGACTCGACCTGCCATCTGGTCTTAAAATTGGTCTTAACTTGTTCTAGTAAGGTATGATAATGGACAGTAGTTTATGAAGAAGGTGAAGGAATTTCACATACAATTAGCATCTCTCTGTTGCTTGGAGACTGAATGGTTTAGCTTTTAGGCTAAAAGTTCTTAATTCATCTCTGCTAGGAAGAAACATGAGCTTTTGGGCTACTTTATTAGTTTGATTCTGCAATTACTCTTAAGTACTTTGTAATGTCAGAGGCTTTCCTGTAGTAAACTATTTTAGCTTCTTTAACATATTGTAATCTTTAAGTCTTCATTTAAGCTCTGAGCATTTTATCTTTTTGTTCTGGAAAATGGTGATCGTTTTAATACAAAAGCAGAACATTTCTGGGGTAGGCCATAAACTTTGAGAACTTTTATAACTGTAATTCACTCTAGTATGTTTGGCTGCAGAACTGTTAGTAAATCTTAAGTCTGTTCATATGTTTTCTCTATCAAACATATGTAAGAAAAGCATCATGTTTTCTAAGGCTGTGGGATTTCTCTGACTCCATGCAGGGGTTCTTTCTAAGGTGTTTTTCTGTCTTTAAGAAGGTTTGGCTGAAAGGCAGATAGATGGCTTGTTCAGTGCTTAGATGTTGATTAGAATAGAAGGGATTGCTGATTAGAATGGAAGGGGTCTTCTGAAGCCTAGGTTCTTCAGAAATGCCTAGCAGACAGTAGTGTAGTTATTTTTCTTGTTAAGTTTGTGTTTGGATATATGTGGGCTTCAGAAAATTGGAGAGGAACTTAAGATTTTTAGAGTGGTAGCTGGCTTTGACTTGAGGGTCATAAACTGTTCTGATAGGACTGATTAGAAGAATGCTATAAGGAAAGTTGTTTACCCTGGCACGGTTGTTCCAGATGCAATAATACTGTTACTTTTACAGCTTGAGAAAAATACTGCTGCTCTTTGTTTTCCCAAGTTAAAAACAGAGCAATGCTGTGAAGATTTAATGCTAAACCCTGTTGCAGAGTAAACCTTAGTGGTAAGTTAATAAATTGAAGTAAATAGTGGAGGATTACAGATTTAGGAAGAGGAAGGTAGAGGGAGAAAGTACCTTTCGTGTTCGCTGTGAACTTGGCTGGAAGCAGTGGAATTAAAGTGTAAATATTTTCACTCCTACATTTTCAGTAAGTATGAAGTGTTCAGAATTCCTACTAGATTACAAGGCAGTCACAAACAAGTATTTGAAGTAAAATAAATGAAATAGAGATTAAAGTAGCAATTTCTTGGAACTGAATTTTGGGGTCCAAATACTGTATAGACTTGGCATTCATCTGCTGTTTGTGTGGGTTTTCCTTTTTTCTTTTTCCTTGCTTTGTATTGAGACTGTTTTTGTATTCAGAACAGACTGCAAAAGCAGATTATTTCTTGTTTTCTTTTTCTCTTTCAGAATCTTAAAAGTTTTGACCCAGGTGAAAAACACTTTTGTAACACTTCATGGAGTGATGTCTCTCTTTGGGAGTCAGTGGGCAAAAGGAAGGTATGTATAGTTGTGTTAGAGATTCTGGGTAGACGTGTATGTGGAGTTGCTGAATTTTATCACTTCTGAAAAGAAGTCCTGGAAAAGTTACAATACAACTTTTTATGGTAAAAAGTGCAGCTTTAACATCTGTTTTCGAAGTACTATTAGGAATAATCTTTCATTTCTTCTGTATTCCGTAACGCAGCTGGTTATAAGGACTGTGTATACCATTTGCTTTAAGGATGCAGCCCTCAATGTTGAGTATTTAAGATGTCGCACTGATGTTCTGCCTTTTTAGCCTATTCTGATGTGTAGTCTTAACATGCTCGTGTATACAACATGTTTCCTGTTTCTTTGGAAGGGTGCAAATATGGTTGCATAGATGCAAGTGGCTTGGGATAGGATTGCAGTGGAAAATATGTTCCAGTTAGATCAGTGTATATGAAAAAGCTTTTAGTTCTCTGTGACTGGAAACTTCTATGAACCTAGTATCTGCAAGAAAGGCAGGGTTGAGATGAACAAACAAATATAATTTTACATTCTAGCAAGTCTCTAAGATACTATGTAGAGCATAAAAATATATCCAGAAGAAAAGGTAGTATTTTCTCAGTTTTGCTGAAGAGTCTTGGGGCTCCTGATTGCTTCCATGAAGAAGGCCTATCAACAGCATGTAAAGAGCAGTGAGTCTGTAGTTTTCATCCTGAATCCAAAGGTTATGGTTTAGAACAGTATGGTGGCTGTTTGTCAGGATTTTTGGGCTGTTTTTTTTGTTTTGTTTTTTAAATCTGGCTTGACCATCTTCGAAACAAGCAGAGGCTGCCACATGCAGTAGTTGTATTGTAATGGCCTCAACATACAGGCTGACCGAACAAAGCCATTCAGTCTTTGTCAGTCTGTCATTTAGTAAAAAGCGACTCTTCCTCCCTTTAGGACCTTTGTCTGCTTTGTATCCTAGTTCTCCTTTCCTGAATTTGGTTTCACATATTTAAGATTGGAAGTTAATGTGTTCACATGAATCTGTGGGTGAGAGTCAAATGTGACTTGTTTGGGTCTGTAGAAACCCAAGCACTAGCTTCTCAGTGCCACTTCAGATAAGGCTTACAGTTGCCTTCAGTCAAGACTAACTTTAGTGTAGCTGAACGGAGTAAATCCCGTTAATGGTTATACTGGTTCCCTCCCCCCTTTTTATTTCTTCTTTATGCACATGGAAAATGTCTCCTATCAGGTGTCCTGGCTCCAGTCAGCATATTTTATGAGCTCTAGCCTTGCTGATTCTTTTTTTTTGCCTTTTTCCTTATTCAGTGGACAGAGAAATTTAGTGTTTGGAGACCTGTGTTAGATGAGCAGGATAGGTTCCACCTCTTCCCCAGACACAAAAGAGGGAAGAGTAGGACGAAGACAGAGAAAACGAAGCTTCCTGTCTAAAACTTAACAAAAAGTTGGGCTTTAGGTGGTTTGTTTTTTTGGTTTGGTTTGTTTTTTTTGGGATTTTTTTGTTTGTTTTGTTGTTTGGGTTGTTTTTTTGTCCACAGTCCTTTAGGAAAAAAAATAGCCATTTCATTAGAAATGGAAAAGAACTAAAATTCCTGCACTAGAGGGAATCTTTCATCCCTGTTGTCTGGAGAAAAACCAGGCAGAGAGACCTGATCTGTTACAAGAAGAGAGGATGTCCTGGGTTCAGCTGTAATAGTTATTTTTCTCCTTCTTAGTAGCTGGGCAGTGCTGTGTTTTGGCTTTAGGCTGAGAACAATGCTGATAACACACTGATGTTTTAGTTGTTGCTAAGTAGTGCTTACCTCTGTTATGGACTTTTCTGATTCTCACGCTCTGCCAGTTCGGAGAGGCACAGGAAGCCATGAGGGAACAGAGACCGCACACCTGACCCAAACTAACCATAGGGGTATTCCATACCACAGCACATCATGTCCAGTATATAAACTGGGGGGAGTTACCTGGAAGGACCAGGTCGCCGCTCAGGTTGATCTGGGTATTGGTCAGTGGATGGTGAGCACTTGTATTGTGCATCACTGCTGTTTATTGTTTTGGGTTGTTTTTTTCTTTTCCCTTCCCCTTTTAGTTTTATATTCTCTCCCCTTATTATTAGTGGAAGTAGTGGTTTTGTATTATACTTCAGTTATTGGACTGTTCTTACCTTAACCTGTGGGATTTATATTCTTTCAGTTCTCTCCATCCCTCCGGGTGTGGGGTGAGATAAAGAGGGGGGGTGAGTGTCTGTGTGGTTGTGAGTTACTGGCTAGGCTTAAATCATGACAGAGAAATACAGATCCTGACTCAGCTAATCAGCATGACCAGTAGTATGTGTCCAAAAAAACAGGATTGGAATCTCTCTGATGATGAACTTCAGTATAGTGTTTGTAATGTGTTGCTGCAGAGCAGATTTGCCAAGCTATGTCTTGTGGATACTAAAGTTGTTCCTATTTTCTTTAAACAGCTGTGGTTCCTTGACATTTATCACTCACATATCTTGGTATCATGCTGCCTAGATTTGGAAAGAAAGAAGTTGGTCCTTGAGGATGTTCTAGAAGTTGTTGCCATAGGGGAAAATAAGTTGTTTGAACTACATTGGAAGCTCAGCAAGCTGGAGATGATGTTTATTGAGATGAGTTGGTGGTTTTACCATTAGTACTGGTTTTAGGGAGACATTAATAATTATGGAAGAACTTCCGATTTCTGGAGGCTGTTGTGTCTTTCTGCTTGTCTCTAGGTTGTGGGGAATGTGAGACTACACAACGGAAAGTGTTGCTGCATTACGGGGTATGTTCTTTGGAGCGGGACTCATCAAGTTTTCCTAAATGCCTCTAATAATCGTTTTGAATTCTGTTTGTACAGTTTAGGGTTGTGTTGGTCAATCTCCAAGATACTGCTTTTGTTTTCTAGGTGGCCTAGAATTCTGTCAAATTATCTGTAAAGCTGGGAAGCTTTTAGTCGCACTTATGAACATACAAAAGAGCTTAAAGCCTATGCAATGAGCGCATGCTGATGAAATTATTTTCTAATAATACCTGTTTTCTAATGTCTTTGTGTGGAAGAGTTCTACTTCATACATAAACAAGACGAAAGTAGCAGGCTTTCACATACTTCTGTTGAAGCAGAATTTAGCAGAATTTGGGGGATTTTTGTTGTTGGATTTTATTTTTTTTTGAGTTAAGTAATGGGAGTTTAGGAATTGTCTTAATTTGATAGAATATGAGGTACAAGACTTTTCTTTCTCTTTTTTTTTTTTTTTAATTTCTGTAAAGTGTCATGATTCTTGCCTCTGTCAAAAAATAAATGATCTAAGAAGGCATGGAACTTCATTTCCCCTAGACTTAACAATATGCAGGTACCGGGGTGGTTTCTTGGCGATATACTGCAATGCTTGTTTGTGTAAGAATAAGAACTGTACCTAACAACATTGTTCAGACTTGGTAGCAAAGTAATACTGCCAGTATAGTACACTATGGTATAAGTTTATGGGTATAGAAAGAGCCAATCCAGAGATGGGGTGGAGGGGAAAGTAAAGGGTGTGTGGGTCCAGTATTTAAAAAGCATATGAGCTTTTCTAAGCCTCAGACAACAAATTAAAATAAGCAGTCACCGCTCTGTCATCTGCCTTCTTCAGAAGTAAGGCTAATGAGGTGCAGCTTTCAATAATACTCTGTATGCTTCTTTAGTTCAGTGGTGCCAGTGGCCTTTCTCTACTTAGTATACTTTAAACGTAAAATTGAGGCCTCTTCTAATCTGCTGTGGTGCTGTTTACTAGCAGCTGAGACCAGACACCTAAAGAGTGTAAGTAGAGGATAATTAACTGATAGTTTCACAGTGTACTCTTCAGCAGTCTTAGCCAGTCACTTCGTCTGACCCAGTCTTTTGAATCTGGAGGTTAGATTTTGATTTTCATCAGGAGCTAGTAGGTGACACCTTCATGGTTATATGAAATGACAAAAATAACTGCACAAATTTTTGCTGCAGTTCTCCATGTGTTACCTCTAACACATACTTGGGTGATCTAGCTAGGCTGGGTGCTGTAGTGGTGGAACAGCTTGTTCCCTTTGGATGGTGTTTCTTAAGGGGCGTCAGTAAGGTGAAAAACACATCTGAAGGGACAGGTTTTACTACATGTTTCAGAGTGCAGGTTTGTCACGTGGATGCTGCTGTGACTGATTCTGTAGGTTTTGGCGGGAGCTAGGCTTAACTTCTTAGGAAGTTAGTAAGAAAATATGATTGATAGACCTATAAGCTTTTCAGGAAGAGCAAATAATATTCATATGGATATGAAAAGTAATGTTGTCAAGTGATACATAATCAAGGGAGCAAACCACTATTTAGTGGAAGATAATTAGGTTTTTTTTTTTACAATTAAAATATTTTTATGAGAAGAATATGTTTTATAGTGAATGTGCTAGAGGAAATTTCTTAAAGAAATTACTGTGATGGGATGTCCAGTATGTTGAGATAATACAAAGAGGTCACTGCTACTGTATCATAAAAGGGGCTTTTAATTCTTTCTATTATTAATCTGGCTCCAAGAGAATGTTCAGGGAAAAAAAATAAATCTTCTGTGGCTTTTGGAGAGCTTTCAGTGAAGAGTAGGGTATTGAAATACACAAAAACCTCTCACCCCTTCTCTCTTTTTTCTCCAGTAGATAGGAGGCGGTTCTGACCTAAGTAATGCTTTAAAAGTGTCATATTTAAAGGGCTGCTCTTCCTAATTGTTGAGACTTCACCTCGTGCTTACAAGTAGCATATGAATTCTTAGCTTGTTCTGTGATTTCTGTCTTTAAAAATGGGCTTCAGAGTTACATCTTGTGAGCTGGAGTAGAAACAAACTCAAGGCTTCTTTATAAATTGTAAAGAAGCAAAAAGGGCACAAATGTTTATCCCTTTAAGTATGGCATCTTTAAGTCTGCTTTTCAGAAACAGAAGAAACTGAGAAGATGCATGCTATACATCCAATGAAGGCATTTTTGACAGGTGATAGTACAGGCTTACTTTGAAACAGATAACAGGGATTTAGGAATCAACTGGCAGTTTCTAAGTGGATGTTTTTGTTTTGTTTGCAGAGATACAGAACAAAGCCGTACTGCTGTAGCTTATGCAAGTTCTCATCAAAATTGCTTACTTCATTCAAGAATCACTTGCACCGCTACCATGAGGATGAAATGGACCAAGAGCTGGTGGTTCCTTGCCCAAAATGTGCATTTGCTTCTGACCCAAAAATAGTGGGAAAACATATCCGGATGTTTCATTCGTCTAATAAAAGAATACAGAACTACACAGTCAGCATTGTGGATGGCATGAAACAATTCAGGAGTGACATAATAAACTTTACATGTCTAAAATGCCACTTCACAGACACACTGTATTACAATATGAAGAAACATGTGCTGATGAACCATTTCGAGAACTTAATTAGTACGTATTTTGGCCTGAAACCTGATGGAAGTAAAGGGGATTCTGCCGAGCTCTACTGTAAAAAATGTAATGCTTCTGCAAACAGTGAAGATTCTTTAATGTATCATGTCTTGACAGCTGAAACACACAGAGACCTGGAGAACAAACTTCGGTCTCTGATTTCAGAGCATATTAAGAAACCAGAAATTGTGAAACAAATGCAAATTGCTCCAAAGCCTCCCCAAAGTATGGCGGTGACTTCTCTGTCTGCAGCACCTGCCACTTCCACAGCAGGTTCTGTATCAGTTCCATCTTGCATCCAGCTTGCGTTTCCACAGAATAATCAAACCCAGAGTGGGATGCAGCCACATGTCATTCAAAACACAGTTGGATCACTGACTGTTCCAAGTGCCTCTGGTAGCTTTCCACGTACAACTTCTGCTCCAGTTGTTACCCCCCCACATGTTGCTCTTGTATCTAATAATCTTTTTGTAGGTCAAAATAACATGAATATTCAGCCGTCACCTTCCCAGCCTATCATTGTTTCCCATACGCTCCCCCTTAATCAGCCTGTGGGGACTGTGGCCCCTTCAGTTCTTCCTCTTAATCAGTCTGTCAGGCCTGGGATCTTCCGTGTTAATCAAACCATTGGTACCATAAATGGTCCGCTTGCAACTGGAGCATTACCTGTTACTCAGCCTGTCAGCCCTGTGAATCAACCAGTTGCACCAGGAGTTATCTCTGTCAATCAGTCGTTTGGGAATGTGAATAGACCCATTAGTCCCAGGGTCCTTCCTGTGGCACAGACAGTTGCTTCGGGTGTTCTCCAGCTTAACCAGCCTGTTGCTTCTAGACTTGTTCCTGTTGGGCAGAATGTCCGATCTGATTTTTTTCAACTTAATCAGCCTGTTGCCCCAGCAGTTATCCCAGTAAATCATCCAGTTCAAGCAGCAGTTTCTCAGAATACAGCTATTTTGACTCCAGGTTCTATACTTCGGCAGTTGATTCCAACTGGTAAGCAGGTTAATGGGATACCTATGTACACGCTTTCCCCAGTTTCAGTTACTTTGCCTGTACCTCCTGGTGGGGGAGTAGCAACTGTTACACCGCCACAAGTGCCCTTCCACCTAATGCAGGCTGGGACAATAACTCAGTTGTCCCAGTCACCAGCTAGTGTACCCTCTCCTCCAGTGGTATTTACATCTCAGAATATATCATTTCAAGCCTCCCTTCTTGGTCTTGGAACAAGTCAGGAAACCAAACAGGCTAAGCAGTGGAAGACTTGCCCTGTTTGCAGTGAACTTTTCCCATCAAATGTCTACCAGGTGCACATGGAGGTGGCCCACAAACAGTGTGAACCAAAAGTGGACAGAACCCCAGCACCTGACAAACTTGCAGCTTGTGCGCCCTTTCTGAGGTGGATGACAGAAAAGACGGTCCGGTGTTTCTCTTGTAAGTCTTTTCTGTGTGAGGAAGAGCTCATGAAACATCTCTTGATGCATGGCTTAGCTTGCTTGTTTTGCACAGTTACTTTCCATGACTTAAAAAGCCTGGTAGAGCACAATAAGACAACACACAACGGGAAAAAGCAGTTACATGCAGATTATAGCAACAGAGGATTTCAACTAGGTAATGATGCTCAGGGTGACCTTATATTTCCTCACTTTGATTTCAGTACAGTGTTACCAAAAGAAGACATTGGTGAAAGAGAAGTACATTTGGCTGTGCTTGCTGGACTAAATTCAAGGACACTTGTCCCAGTTTACATCAAAGTGACAGCTCAGACAGCAGAAACGAAGGGCAGATGCATGAGAAAAGTGTTAACCTGTCCCTTTTGCTATGGTACGTTTGCTGGTAAAGAAACCTATGAAAAGCATTTGGAAGAGCGGCATCATATAATGCCAACTGTACATACTATTTTAAAGACTCCTGCTTTCAAGTGCATTCACTGTTGTGGTGTGTACACTGGAAATATGACTCTAGCAGCTATCGCTGTACATTTGCTCCGTTGTAGAAGTGCTCCCAAAGACAGCAACTCAAGTGTGAAGATGCAGCTTGAGCGTACTGAGAAGAAAGAGCTACTGCTTGTAAATGGTGAAAAGCATGATCCTATGACGCTGAAAAGAAAACAGTCGGATTCCTGCTTTGTTGCAGAAGACCAAAGGAATAGGGAACAGCAGCCTCTGAGCTTAAGTACTGGCATAGCTCTGTCTCCAGAAAAAGAAGTGAATTCAGGGGTAGTGCCTTTTAAAAGACAGAAGATTAGTAACAGGTCTGATATGAAGAAGCTTCCTTCTAGTGAGGATCTTTGCCTTCTAGCAGTAGATCCTACGCAGCATGATCACAGTTCGTATGAGGCTCAAAAGCAGTTTTTGACAGACTACTTTCACAAGAGGCCATATCCTTCTAAGAAAGAGATGGAATTACTTTCCTCACTGCTGTGTGCATGGAAAATTGATGTTGCATCATTCTTTGGAAAAAAGAGGAATATATGCTTAAAGGCGATGAATAATCGCAAACCATCTGTGCTGCTGGGTTTCAGTATGTCTGAACTAAAAAATCTTAAGCACAGTTTGAACCTAAAAGATGAAGCATTAGATATGTAAACAAGCTTTTTATAACAGCTAAAAGGAACCCATCATTGCATCATTATTGATTTAGCCGTTTATTGTATTAATTTGTTTTGACTTGCAGACTGGCCTGTTGAAGGGTGCAGTAGTACAAACAGTCTTGTTCAGTTGTGACTTACTGTGAAAGGCACACGTAGTTGTGTATTTGAAAAGCTAAAACCTTCAGACTTGCACATCTGGAATTTGTTTTAGCTTTGTACTTTTTCTGGAGTAGGTTTTTTTTTTCTTTTCCCGTTTCCTTTTTTTGCCTCCAGGCTCCCGTTAACACTTTTTATACCACCATGTAAAACATCTGTCCTGTTGAAAACAAATTTTATTTTATTTTTCTGCAATGTCGTTGTCTTTTCTAAACAATAAAATGTACAATGTTGGTTAATATACTGAGGTAAACTACGTGAAAAAACATATATTTCATTATTTGTGAGTTTAAGTCCTAATTTTTTTAACCTATTTTTGTTTTAGCTACTGAAGAAGTGATTGTAACCTTTACGTCCATTGCCTTTTCAAATTCCTGTTGCACTGGTAGCAATAAAATAGATGGCAATCTTCTTTTTCCCTCAGCCAAAATGCCTGTGCCAGTTAAATCTGGTGACTTGTATTATCTAACTAGTACTAGCTTGGTGGGGATTGAGAAATTTGGTGGTGCCCTTTGAAGTGTTATCATTAACTGACTTGAAATGGTTGTGTGTTATCCGTTAAATCTTTCTGACTAGAAGTGGTTTTTCATTGGTGTTGAAGCCTGGTTGTTTAAATACCTGTTGTTCAAAGCTTGTGCAGCTGTAGTAGCAGCATTTGGTTTATTTTCTTTTTCAAAAAGCAAAACCGCATTGGAGGGGTCAGATTGCTCTGATACATGGAATGGATGACTTCTGTACACATCGCTTATCTGTAGAAGCCCTATCCAAATATCACCAAAGTTTGGTGAAAAATGCGATTTTGTTTTAAATAGCTGTTGCATGAGGTTAGTAGGGGGAGGCACTGCACTGAGCAGTGCCTCCTCCCCCAGGAAGTTAGACCTTGGCTCAGAGCCTTTTGAGGCAGAAATTGTACAAACTGCAACTGGATAGGTTGGTAGCATCAAGACTTTAAACTGTTGAGTACCTGAACCAACAATACTTAGTGACTGTTGTTTATAGAGTGCGTAAGATTAGCATAAAACCCAAATAGATCAGCTTGTTCAATGTAAATTGCCATCCCTCTTACAGATTATGGAAGAGCTGTTGGGAAGGTTCACTTTAGTTGAAGAATAAGCTGTAGTACTGGTGGCTACATTGAGGCCTTGTTTGGTACTGTTCTTTCTGGGTGTTCTTGGTTTCATCTTGCTTGTCAGACAGTGGCTCCAGTGTTCATTACTGGCCAGTTATATAATAAATAACTTAAAATATGCATTAATTTTTCCCTACTGTTCATCCCCCTCTCCACCCATCTTTCTCAGAAGAAAAAACAGAGCAGGCTGTCCTGTCGGTTCACTTGTGCCAGTGTTACAAGGAAAGAGTGATGTGCGAGCTTATTTCTGTTTTTTAAGCAGTAAGTGTACTTTTGCCCTGTGCAGTAGTTTTTAAAGCAGGCACAGAATGTTTTCGGTGCAGTTTCTAAAAGGGCATGACATTTTTTAGCAGAATTTGGTGGCTGCCCACCTGAAGTTCTATAAGCTATTTGAAATTCTATTTTGGATATAGTCTTGATATTTTCATATTGATCTCTTCAGAGAGTTTTGATGTATATGCAACATATGGTTGCTTAAACTGAGAGAATCTGCTATTTGGAAAAACCTAGTTAGTTAATAGCAGTGCTGAATTGACACAGACACCATTTCTGGGAATGTGCCCATCTCACTGCAGTGAGTGATTGTGAGTAAGAAACCAGTATGGTGATCTAGCTTAATAATAGCTCATTAAAAATAAATATATGATATTTGGGAGTAGCATAGTTCATGAATCCATTTGAATGAGTGAGGAATGAGGATGAATGCTCTATAGAAGTTCCGAAGTCTGGGCACTCAGTTTCACTCTTAAAGCCTCAGTGCTGTGAGCCCTGCCACGTTTCGGGTGGTTTATGCTGGTATCAGTGAAACTCCAGCAGGAAGGAATTTGGCAGCGTGCTTGAGGGGAAGGCTTGCCCTGAATGGTTAAAGATTGTTCTTGAGGTAACAATGTGGCTTGGAGTAGGGAGCTGGGAAGTCATTTCAGGGTTCATCCATGCTGGGGCTCCAAGGGAACAGTCCAGTCTTACCAGAGTTTTCCTGCATAGTTTCCAGTGGTGATGTTAAGCATTTTCTTTATTGGACTTTGATTTCACAGTTTCAAATAAACCAACTTCCTAACTTTCTCTTAGATGTGTGTGCAAATGATTACCTATCCCACTGCTCCCCTCCTGCCTCTTTAATATATATTCAGGCAACTTGATGTGAAAGTTTCTTCTTTGGTGCAAAATAGCTGTTAAAAGATGCAAAAGGTAAGTCTGGCCTTAAAGTGTTGATCCAGATGCATTAGGTAGACTTTAGTGCATTATATTAATATTTTTTATTATGTCTACTAACAGTTGCATGTTTTTGTAGACTGGTGTTCTTACATCTTGGTACTGATTTGCTGTCACTATATGCTTCTGCTCTGCAGAAATAAACAAAAACCAGATGAATTTTGAAATCTAATAGTGACTGAGACATAGTATGGTTATGGTTTTCAGGAAAGCCAAGGAGCCTGAAAACAGGCAAGTTACATCAGTGGCTTTAACTACATCAGGCTTTTGTTGTAGGCTTCTCTGGTGTGAAGTCACTTGGTTAGGAAGTGTTAGTCTGGAAGGATGCTGCTGCCCTTGTCTATGGCTGCGTGTGGTCAGTGTGGTAAATGCCTCTCTGGTACTTTTCTAAGGTCAGGGCCTGACACACCTGGTATATGCTGTTGGGGAAAACAAGTCTACCAAAGGAGCTGCTCTCTGCACTTTCTGAATGCAAGTCCTTAAAACTTATGGGGGAAGCTCTGGTCCACTGTAAAATCCGGTTGGGAATACTGGTTGGTTTGCAGGATAGTTATAGCAAGTACTTGTTCCTTATGGGAATCATTAAAAATAGCTGCATGTATTCTACTTCTGAAATCTGTTGGTCTGGAGAAGTCTCTGCCTTTGAGAAATATGTTGTTGTGTTTTGAGTTTTTGAGCAGAAAAATTGTGCTTCTGGAATAGTGTGATAATTTATTATTTGAATATATAGTAGGAAGGATTATAATGTAATCTGGTCATATATCTTCTGTATACATTTATGTGGTGGGAGTTATATTAATATTCTTTGATGAACTAATGCTCTGGAGGGTGACAAAACCCAAAACACCCTTGTGATTGGTTTTCAGTACTGTGTTCTTATGTACATCACTGCAGTTTGCCATCATGACAGGTTTTTCTTTTCCCTTCACTGTGCTAAGTTGTTCAGGAAAGCTCAGGGGCATTTAAGTAGCTCTTGAATATAGTTTTGGGTGTGCAATTCCCAACAAATATTTCTATAAAACTATAATTCTACTGCAGCTGGCTGTGCCATTTTCAAAAATAAGTTTGTCAAACTTAACTGTGGACATGCTTTTCTAGGAAAGATAATCAGTGCTAAGTAGCAAAGTACAGATACATGGATAAAAACTGCAGTCTAGTAGCAAGAGAAAAAAAGACCAAAAAAGCCTTCAGAAAATGTGCATAGCTTGTGTTAAGGGTTGGAAGAATTTTGTCTCCTTCCTCTGCAAAACATACGCGAAAAAGATAAATATGGGGTATTTATGAACAAAGCAGATCTTTGTGGTGTGGCATTTCAAGTTTAGCACTTCGGTTTAGTGTCTGTGTATCTCATTTCAGCTGTTCTGACTTGACAGGGACAGTTTCTCATTTTACTTGGGTACCAGATCCCAAAACATATATGACATGTGGAAGGCCGTCTCTTGTGGACTGGGCAGGTTAGCTGTCCTGTCATGCATATGGCGTGCCAGCAGTTGGAAAAAGTGATGCAGAAACAATGCTAGTGGAGCCTCTTTGAAATGCTGTCTTTGGCACATAAGGACCTACTTCCAGAGATGCATTGTGAAATCATTTCTAGGTCATGAAGGACAAGTGCCATAATAACTTCATTTATTAAGTCATCTTGCGTAGCAAATACATGCTACACCATCCATCTGCTGTAAGGACTGACATCATGCTATACTAGAGACAGAGGACTGGATTACAAGCTTTTCAGAGATCTTGGAACAGTCTCCTCTCCTGAACTGGGCAGAGAATTATGGTTGCAAGGGCATTACTTAGTTGAAAACAGTTACCTTTGAAGGCATTGTCAGTCTGCTGTGTGTGTGACCATGCGTGTGTTCAGATTCTCATTAATGCGACAGTGGCCTCATGTAGCCCTCAACAAAGCTAAATGTGTAAGGTGGGCTGGTTAGAAATGATCCTGCCATATAACACTGTTAGCAGAGGCAGAAGGCAGAGTGTAAGAAGAACAGATGAATCTGCTCTGTCTTGGTGTGCATATTTTGGAGTGAGCACTCATTTTAAGGTAGCTGTTGGGACTGTGATCTTAATGTTACAAATTATATGAAAAATGGAAGTCTATTAACCAGACTTGTTAATGGAAGAGAAGCTATCAGGCAGCATTGGTGTAGAGAAGAGGCAGTATCATATTTGAAGAACATGAGTGCTGGGGCTTAATACAACATCATGATTTATAAACACACATGCATAAAGGTTAGCCAGCATAAATTTTCCTGCTTGGCGGCTGCTGCTGCTCAAGGCCAGTAACCTTGGCGCAAACAGAGGTTGGAATGTGACCACATCTGTGTTGAGTGTGGGATCATACAAAACCATTGCTAGGGGTAGGGCCATGAGATTCAGAAACAATGAGTGCAGCTGGACAAAAAGCCAGTTTTGAGGTAAACGCAAGCACTTCAGCTGAGGGGAACTGTGTGTGAGGTGGCTGCCCCTGGTAGAAGGAGGATGGCCGCACAGGGCTCGGGACCTGGCTCCTTGTCTTTTGGTGGGTGAGAGTTGCCAGTGGTAGCACTAGCAAGAGCATGCCCCATCCCTGGCAGTGTTCAAGGGCAGGTTGGATGGGGCTTGGAGAGACCTGCTCTAGTGAAAGGTGTCATCTGGGAGCAATCACAGCACAGTGCTGGGCAGTCTCCATAGGGATAACTGCTCATTTCTGAAAAAGGGTCCTGGTGGCAGGCTGAAAGGGCAGCTAATGAAGGCAGGGCACTTGCCATGGTGGTTTTGAAGTAGAGCGGGAGCTCCCTGGTAAAAGCCGTGTGAGGGATGGCTATTGCCAGGGAATTTCCGAAAGGTTTGTCTGTGAGGGTGGGGGGCTGTGCCTCACACATGCTTTTTCTTTCTGGGGTGTGTTTGGAAGGGCCTGGGTTTTGCTGGATGTGGCCCTGACTGGAGGCAGGTTCAAACAGGTCCCTGCAGAAGTGAGGAGTGTGAAGAGGGCTGGGGCCCTAGATGCCATGGGGGAGCTTCTTCAGAGCCCCTCTGAGGCATGAGGCTGATGTAGTCAGTGCTGCTGTACTGAAGGGGCCTTGGGCTGTCAGAAGACCATGTCTTCTCAGGCCCTTCTCGCAAGAGAGACCTCTGCCACCAGATTTGTCTGATACCATTTCTGTTCCTTATCAGGTGTATTGGAAAGCTTGGACTAGAGGCTTTCTAATAAGAATTACTCTGAAATATTATGCTTCTAAAAAATAAAATGTGAAATATTTATTAAATATAAAACTTAAAAATATTCCAATAAAAATTATTAAAAAAAATTGCACATACAATTCTGAATGCTTTAGTTTGGGGAAGGAGGGGATGACCTAGAACAGCCACAAGAGCAGTGAACTCCTTTTAATACTCGCAAGGTTCCTGAGGGAATAGAACTTAGCAAAAAGATGTATTAAAAAAAAGTCTGCATTTTCTCCATAGCAGATGCTTCTGTGTGCTTCTCACGTTTTCTGTTGTCCTGAGCCACATGTATCTCAGGGGTAATGAGGTCAACTGCTCATAGAAATACCGGAAAGTATTGCTGTGGGTTTCACACTTTGTGTCCACTTTCTGTTTGGTTTTGGAGTTGGCAGAAGAGAAGTGGTAACTCTGCCAGGTCTGTTATTTCCACAGAACTGTTGCTTTGCATTACTTTGTGACTGGGCACTGTTAGGTCTACTTGTGCTTTTGCGGGCCAGCTTTTCATGCTGTAGATGGAGTATTTGCATCATGCTGAGAAGTAGATTTTCTCTTTTGGAATCTGCAGCTATAAAAACATTTGGTTACAGTGATGTTACTGTTACAAGATGTTTAGCTGCTGGGGCCAGCCCTGTTCCCTCTGTAGATGGGAGGTGGATTTTTAAAGGAATTAGAAAGGCAAAGACTTGCAGAAGCAGCTGGGATAGGAGGGTTGAGTTGTACAGGAAATACTGCGTTGGTGGCAAGCCCTGAGCAGGGCAATAAACCCTGCAAGGGTGAATTTTTAAGCTTGCTTTCCCCTCATACTGCTAAATAAAAATACACTATTTGTGCTTGCATGACAAGTCAGCTTTGCCTCACCTGCCCTGTGTGTGTGCAGGTTGTGAGCAGCAGTCTGTGACACTCGAGGTGTGCAGTCTGAAGTTGGGTCAGAGGAGCCACCTCTGGAGAACATGCCTGAAGAGCAGGTGGAAGCTATACTAGGCGCTGTTTTAATCCAAGACTCAATGTGCATGTAGCAGGTGGTGGTGGGGGGTGTGGGGTGGGTTCAGGGCTAGCACTCACGTTGCAGCCAGTGCAGGCAGCCCCAGAAACCACACAGAGGGCTGTGAAGGAGAAGCAAAGGGTTGGAGTCAGGCATCCAGTTGAGGCTCAGCCCAGGAATGTCTATACCTCAACTTAATCCTTTTTCTTTTCAACAGCAGATCACATACGTTGTGTGCAGGTGGTTGTGCATCAAACAGTTCAGCATTGCTCTTGCTGGAGTGAGAGGTGCTGTGCCCTGATGGTCATCAACCATCAGGGATGTTCAGTTTCTGAACTGGGGCTGGATCCTGTGCACCTTGGCTCCTCACCGGTCTTCCCAGTCCTCCACTTGTGGAGGCCCCAGGATACCAGAGAAGAAATGGTGCTGACATCTACTGGTTATTACTCAGATGCTGGTATACCAGTAGCGCATAATGTCCTTTCTGAACGATAGACAAACGGTCCAACAGCTCTCGACATCATCAAACGCACTGCAAGGTTTAGCTTCTCTTGTCTTTCCTGGTCTTTATTGGTGGCATCTCCAGCTATAACTTGGTTTCCTAATTTGCTGGTTTTCCCTCTTCTAAATTAAGATGATAGAATTTACTGTAATTTATGATATTTTCACGTCTGCGCACATGATTAACAACCAAGGTTTCCTTAAAAAATCTTAGAGATACTCTTTTGCTCAGAAGGATTGGAGCCTTGAGAGAGTGTGTGTCTATGTCTGATAAGCCTCTTGAAACGAATAGTTAACTTCGTAGATGCCTAGTGACAAAAATTACTGATATACATTTGGCTGACTTCCATGCCAACAGTTGAACACATCCATACATGTCCTTGATGTCAGATGTGCTTCTCAAAATGCATTCAAAAGCAGCAGGCTAGTTTAGGTACTGGAGAATTACATTCTTGGGGCAGTCCTGAATACTTCCCTGTGGGCATCTGCAGGAGAAAGTGTACTTGTGTCAAGCAAGGGAGACTTGTCAGGCCTGTGCAGGTTTGATTTTGAGAATGAAGTGTCACAGAAGGCAGAGCTGAAGCTGTAGCAAAGCACTAGGTTAGGAAAAGAACTTCCCTGAACAGTTGCATTCCTTCTAAATTAAAAGCAGAAGCTTATGCTGTGATGCCACCTATGGGACTTCTGTGGGGAGCCCTAGCCACAGTGTTTATATTTTTAATCTTGAGGTCGCACTTTGGTTTTAAAACCACAAGGACACAGTGTCCCCCAGAGTCTACCAAAATAAATGTTTGCCACGCTGTACCTAGCTATTTCTGTACATAATTTAAGGAAAGTTATATTCCTTCTCAGAAACTCTGGTATACTGCCTTCAGCAAATACCAACCTGAGCCAAACACCTCATACAGCTTATGAATGGCTTTCAGTCCTGTTAACAGTCCACAGAAGCATTTCTAAAAAGACCCTTAGCACATACTAGATGTTTTGTTAAAAAAAATAAATCATCAAGTTAGTACAATCTACAAAAAATCTTTTGAGTTACTGAAGCCAAACCAGCGGGAATTCTGAACCCCTGAATCTGATACATGTTTTGGAGAGGATTTCCGTATCATTTTTATAACACATTTGCAACACACTTTCTTCAGTCACAGAAGAAATGTTGCTAAATTTTGGCTTGCATTCCCGAAGTGATACACAGAGCTCCTGTTCAAGTCGAGCCCTACTGGATATTTAGCCGCTTTTATTCCGGCAAGTAGGGACTGCACAAATTCAACCTTCTTGCTGGGTGACATTTTTTTTTCCCTAAGTTGTCAAATAACTGCCTGGTGGATCCCACAGCACAGTGGGGTGGCTACAGGTAGATTGGATGCACAAAGTAAAACATGTCAAAGATGTATTGATTAAGTGATACGTGTTGCTGCAATGGGATTAATTGATCTGGAATTAACTTGCAAAGAGAAGATATGGCATGGATTAGAGCTTCAAATACTGGAGATAGCCACGTTTAAAAAAAGCAGAATAATCGAGGAGACCAGCAAAATGGTTAGCGTATATAAGTGCTACTTTTCAGCTACTCAGAGCTTTATTACAGAATCATTGAATAGTTGAGGTGGGAAGAGACTTCTTCAGGTCATGCTGCCATTGCCTTCATCTGGATCAGTTCGTGTCTGATGTACATCACTACTATACAAACGAAACTCAGGTGACCTGTTCAGTTTTGGAAGTGCTGTTATGGCTTTGAGAACAAGTACTGAATAATTAGTTCATTTCCAGAGTTTGTTCCAAGTGATGTTAACTCAGTCTCCTATTAATGTGGGTATTTTATAGTTTTTCTTTGTTGAGTGCCATTATCAGTGTGTGTCTTCTAACTGTGTAACAGAAAATGAGTAAGAAGCATAATGGATCATGAGTTACACCATCGGAGCAGGAAGGGTCACGGTAACTGGTAACATTTTGTGCTTCAAGCAGTGCTTCTGTTTTACACATATCCTTGGTGTGGCAGCAATGATACGAGGAGTTCAAAGAGAATTTCTGATTGTCTGGCCCTTGCACACACCCTTGTTGTTTGTGAAGTTTTTTAAACACTTGCCAAGAGTAACTGCTCTCCATGAATATCACGGAAGCATATTATCAGATTGCAATCAGGCCCTTGCCTATTTTTGAGTATGCTTAAGCCTGGCTAAAAATTGGTCTAAGAATAGTGAAAAGCATCGTGGTAGATTAGGTAGATAGGCAGACAGACAGACATGCACTGGAGATACGCTATTTCTGAGGTCAATGAGAGCAGCTCTCCTTCGACCAGGTGACCAGACAGGCATTCCATCTTTCTTACCCTGTAATGCATTTTCAAAATACATCAGATGACTCATCCTGAAAATGCTTATTTCTCTCCATGAGCAGTATTGAAACCATAGGTGGTTCATTCAGCCACAGGCCGTTATGATTTGTATAGCTAAACAGTAAGCAGGTTAACCCAACTTCAGGTTCAACTATGCTACTAGAAAGCATTTGATGACTGAAAGAGAAGTTCACCTCAGACTTGCAGAATGGCAACCGTTATGAAAGAAAAGCAATGACAAAATAAGGGGGTAACATAATTTGGTATCGTACAGTCAAGACTGCTGGCAGTTTTTGCATCACTACTAACTAACCTGAGAAACTTGTAACACAGCTCCCCACTGCATCCTATTACTTGCCGTGTTACTGAAGCTACAAAATTCTGTTGTCATTGGTGCTGCCTCACTCTTCCATCTCCCAGAAAATGGGTGAGAAGTCCTTGCTTGAGCTTGCTGGTGATGGTGCACCCCCATCACATCGCATATGGATGGAGATAGTTCCTATCTCTCTCTCCTGCTGGCATTCTGTTTAATGGTTTTATTACTCTGACTTTTTCTGCCTGTACAGCTTTAAAGCTAGGAAGGCAATATTTCATAATTAGTATGTTTTGAGGTACGATTATAGACCATAATTACACTTGCTTTGGCTGAAGAGGTAAACATGGGTGAGATTGTGATTGGGGTGCTTAGACAGGGTCATAACTCTCTATTCCCTGTTAGTAGCATGGTGGTCATTAGTTGTAAAATAATGAGAGCAAACCTTATACTACAACACAAGAAGTAGGTATCTGTGACTGCGATACCATGTTTTATATACATTACGGCTTGATGGCTCGGTTGAGCTAAACTCTGGAAGAGAGTTTGGATATCTAACTGAATTCCTTTTTTTTTTTTTCTTCACAGAGTATGGTAAGCACGGGAAGTCTACATCTGGGATCAGAATTCAAACAATGTTGTGAAACCACGGCAGTTGTTTCACTTGGAGGAAGGGAAAAAAAGCCCCAACAACAGAAAGGCAAAACTTGGAGAACTTCATTTGTGACTTCAGATGTGGGATTCCACAGTAGAATATGCCGTAACATGCAACCAGATACCTTAACAATGCTAACTTACATTGCAGTTTGGAGGTAAGACAGGTATTTTCCTTCCAGTCTAATATTCTGCAGTTTTCAAATCAGTTTAATGGGACATCATAGGAAAAGAGCTGCTGCAGTAACACCTCACTTCTGTATACGCTAGTGTGTGCACAATTAAAAAGGTAGCACTCATACATGGCACATACATAAGCGATGTCCATTAATTATGCTGTAGCATCAGGTTAGTTAACTCATGTAAGACAAAGTAATGGAGCACACAGATGTGTGCTCATCAGAGGAGTGCACTCTGTTGAGGAGAGGAGATCAGCAACCTCTGTTTTTAAAGAACATTTTTTTCTAAATTGTTATTAAAACCACATAGCCAAAGTTTTTGTAATTATTAGTGCTGTGTGAGAAAGGTTCGTTTGTACTCGCAAGTAGATATTCAAGTTGCAGCTGCTGCAATTAATGAAAGAATGAAAGGTGGAAATGATGATGGGGAGCTATGTGATGATGGAAGTTGTGGAAAGCTTTGAAGAATATGAAAAAGAGATAGCCATCAATTTTCATATTCTTAAAATGACTGTAATGAACCCTAAGAAAAAGTCTCCAGACTTTTCCAGCTGTGCCCATAGTCTTTCCTATGCTGCAACAAAACACACAGCAACAAGGAGGCACGATTAAGGAACGTGGCATATGATTTACTTCCGCTTAGCAGCGCCAAGTGCACAACTCGGTGTTCACCATAAGCCAAAGGAACACTCAGCAATTCCAAGTAACATTTTTCTTTTGGGAAATAAAAGAATTGGCAGACTATCCTAGAAAATTCAGTTATAAAAGCTTTGTAAATGCCAGTTTATGTTTCTGTGGTGGTATCCTGTGCCTTTAGGAGAATCAAGTTTCAATCCAATGAGATTTGTGAAAACAGGGAAACTAAACCTACTGGTTTTCCATTGCACAGAGAATCATAGAATCATAGAATAGTTAGGGTTGGAAGGGACCTTAAGATCATCTAATTCCAACCCCCTGCCATGGGCAGGGACACCTTACGCTAAATCATATCACCCAAGGCCTCGTCCAACCTGGCCTTGAACACTGCCAGGGATGGAGCATTCACAACCTCCCTGGGCAACCCATTCCAGTGCCTCACCACCCTAACAGGAAAGAATTTCCTCCTTATATCCAATCTAAACTTCCCCTGTTTAAGTTTTAACCCGTTACCCCTTGTCCTATCACTGCAGTCCTTAATAAAGAGTCCCTCCCCAGCATCCCTATAGGCCCCCTTCAGATACTGGAAGGCTGCTATGAGGTCTCCATGCAGCCTTCTCTTCTCCAGGCTGAACAGCCCCAACTTCCTCAGCCTGTCTTCATACAGGAGGTGCTCCAGCCCCCTGATCATCCTCGTGGCCCTCCTCTGGACTTGTTCCAACAGTTCCATGTCCTTTTTATGTTGAGGACACCAGAACTGCACACAATACTCCAGGTGAGGTCTCACAAGAGCAGAGTAAAGGGACAGGATCACCTCCTTTGACCTGCTGGTCACGCTCCTTTTGATGCAGCCCAGGATACGGTTGGCTTTCTGGGCTGCGAGCACACACTGAAGCCGGCTCATGTTCATTTTCTCACCAACCAACACCCCCAAGTCCTTCTCCACAGGGCTGCTCTGAATCTCTTCTCTGCCCAACCTATAGCTGTGCCTGGGATTGCTCTGACCCAGGTGCAGGACCTTGCACTTGGCATGGTTAAACTTCATGAGGTTGGCATCAGCCCACCTCACAAGTGTGTCAAGGTCCCTCTGGATGGCATTCCTTCCCTCCAGCGTATCAACCGAACCACACAGCTTGGTGTTACTGGCAAACTTGCTGAGGGTGCACTCAATCCCACTGTCCATGTCAGCGACGAAGATGTTGAACAAGACCGACCCCAACGCTGATCCCTGAAGGACACCACTCGTTACTGGTCTCCAGCTGGACATTGAGCCTTACTAAGCAGGTTCCTGAAGAGGCCAAAGTCTGCTCTTTTGAAGTCCAGGGCAGTGAGCTTGCTGCACGCTCTTCTCACTGTCCTGAGGATCTCAAATTCGAGCATCTCATGATCGCTGCATCCAAGGCTGCCCTGGAGAGTCACATTTCCAACGAGCCCTTCCCTGTTGGTGAGCACGAGGTCAAGCACGACACCTCTCCTTGTCGGCTCCTCTGTTACTTGCAGAAGGAAGTTGTCTTCCACACAATCGAGGAACCTCCTGGATTGCTTGTGCCGGGCCGTACCGTCCTTCCAGCTGATGTCAGGGTGGTTGAAGTCACCCATGAGAACAAGGCCCTGTGAGCGTGAGGCTTTTCCTATCTGTCTATGGAGTGCTTCATCCGCAGGTTCTCCTTGAGCAGGCGGTCTGTAACAGATCCCCACAGTAATGTCTCCCATAGCTATAGTCCCTTTAACCCTGACCCACAAACTCTCTGTGGACTGCTCACCTGTCCCCAGACAGAGTTCCATACTCTCCAGCCTATCCCTAACATAAAGGGCAACTCCCCCCCCCACCTGCCGGGCCTGTCTTTTCTAAAGAGTCTGTAACCTTCCATTCCAACACTCCAGTCATAGGAGCCAATCCCACCATGTTTCTGTGATGCCTATTATATCATACCCCTTAGACGTGCACACATCTCTAATTCCTCTTCTTTGTTCCCCATGCTACGGGCATTTGTATAGAGGCATCTGAGCCGAGCTCCAAATGAAGCCAGCTCATTGGCTGGAGCGGCTGGGATATCTCTATATTGCTCCGAGCATTTATTATAGGTTCTGGCAACTGACTGGGTGTGTTGGGATGGAATGATGCCCCCCTCCCCCAACACATCTAGAGAAGGCCAGATCCGATAATATTTTAAAGACAATATTCTGTCCAACACTATGGTTACTTCACCACTGACGGTTCCCGTGCTGAGAACTGCAGAGGGTGCTACTGTTGATAAAAATCTGTGTAGCACAGCACTGGAATTAAGGATCCATGTTGTCTTGGACAATACTAGAAGCATTCAGAGATCAAAGCCACAATTTCACTCCAAGTTACTTTGTCTTCCTGACTGTTCTAGTATGAGTTAAAAATACCATAGTGGTTTGTTTGTTTTTTTTTCTCTAGTTTTGAAATGTGATTTGCATTCCTCACATCTTTTTTTTTGATTCATCTGGGTCTTGACCGAGGTCTTAGAGCTGTGGTTCAGGGTCACGAGAAGTCTGTTGTTATGGGTATGAGCAGCATTTAAGAAAACATTCAGCTGCGAGGTACTGATCCAGAGTTTACATTGCCACTTCAAATGTGTTAAAAAATCAAAATGCACGCAGCCTAACAGATTTAACACATGCTCAGAGAATGTGATTATGACAGCATTTGTTTTCCAGCATAAAAACCAGACAGGCTGCTCCCCTGTATCTTGTATTGTGGCCAAGTCATGTGCCTACTTCTGATCTGGATGAAGTTGGTGCTCAGATCAGCTGGGGGTACACCCAGCCATTGCTAATGACAGTACAGCCACAGCCTTGCTGGCAGCAGCTCCATTTCTGTACGGAGTTAATGGCTGCAAATAGTTAAACTTACTTTCTTATGGCAGAGGAACTGAACTTCTGGGGGCTGATAGCTGTTCCTGACCAATGTCAGCACTCATGCTGGTACTTGGAAGCAGCTCTAATTATCCTGACCAGGAGGGACTGGAGTGTTGCTAACTCAGAGCAAAATGAACTGCTGCTAATGGGTGCACCTCAGAACACAGAAACCCAGAGACATCTGTTTCATCTTTTTGCACTCCTATAGCTAAACAATGCCACATATACACAGCATAACAAATCAATCAGTTTGATCCTGCATCTTTAATTGCAATTTGTACTTGGAATCTAAATTTAAAACTATTATTACTCTCTAGGATTATTCAGAAGTGTTTTAGAAGACTGCTAGCTTAGAAGGAGAATCGGAACTGAAAAAAAACAGATTGAAAACCTATGCATATATTGCAGCTGATGCTGCAATCCAACCACAAAGTTGCAAACTGAAGAACCTTGCCAAATACAACGGAAAGCCTGTGCCAAAACAGAAGGGTGGCTCTTTACAGCAAGAATCTATAAGGTTATTAAGTACTGTCAGAGCTACAGAACCATCAAAAGCCTTTGGCTCAGGTTCCTCTTCTTACTGGACCTGGCCAAATGAAACAGAACCTAGATTTTAAGGAAGGCAAATCAGAAAATATTCTTGGGGGAGAATAAATACATTTTGTTTTAAGATGGAACAGGTAGTAATACAACAAATTGGGAAGTCATTTAAAGGTTCATAGATACGTTATATATAGCTAGAAATAATCAGCACAGGTCTGATCATCTAATGAAAAATTTAAGGTAACAATCTTTCTTTATATAAGCAATGATAAGGTTTCTGCATTATTTCATGAGTTCTTGCATCCTCAGGAAAAGGCTATCCTTTATGTTTTATTCTCCTTTATGTCCCAGAAACTGCAAGGAGAAACCCACCCTTTTATGTGAGCTCTCACTTTTAAGCATTTTACTGCTGCCCTTTGGGTAAGTCTCCTTCACGATACCTAGCATGAATATGTGTTTGAATACGTAACTTTGTTCACGTTGAAGAATGCAGAAGGGGGAATGTCAGTGTATAGTAGTTTGTAGCAGCGATGTGCTAAAGCTACATGTACTAAAAATAACATGGATCTATTTCTAAGTAACAGTAGCCCATAGTTTGAGAATAATGGACTAATGTAAAGGTTTGACCTCCTCCACTCTCTCCCAGAGAGCACTGGAGACTCTAAGTAGAAGATAAAGAACTTATTGATCATAAAAGCTGTTGCTATGTTATGCTTGCAGAAATCTTATTTTAAATCATTCAAAATTTAAATAAAACTTAGTATATTTAAATATATTCTAAAGGATTTAATGTATATATTATGAAAAAGGTTGTCTGAAATGGGAAATATTAGTTATTTTATATGTCATTTTGAGAACAAATGAATCAGTGTTCGTAAGATCTGAAAATGATTTAATAAGCTAAAAATTTCCATGTACTGCAATTAGAAGTATTTCTTTAATCATAGAACCTTAGCTCAGGTTGGAAGGGACCTCAGGGCATCTGGTCCAACCTTTCAGTGCTTTATCTAGAACTTTGTCCAGTCGCATCATGAAAACGGCCAGTTATGGGGGACTTCACCACATCCCTGGTGATTGATTGTTCTCACTGTATAAAGTTTGTTTCTTAAGATGAAGTGCACATCCTTTTCTCCATTTAGCAGTGTATGTACAAAGCCCATTAAAGTTAAGACATGTTTTGCACTATTAATGTCACCTTTGCTTTCATACCATACTGGTCATACTCAACCAGTCTCCAGTAATGCAAATGTTGGTAGTATTATATTTGTATAGACTGATCAGCTTCAAGTATAATAACTGAATCTTTGGCAAAAGCTGAGGTACTACTTACTTAATGATAAAAGGGTATCATTTTTACTGTAGTAAAAAAGTGTCATAAACTGAGTAAAGATGTATAAAGAACACTTTCCTTTTCAGTCAAGATACATACATGCAAATCTCCACATTATGACCCTGGGTAAAGTAGCATAAAACTAGAGCATGAAAGAAGAGTGGGCTATGAAGTGACTGTGTGGTTGGTTCAAAGTGATGATTTCGTGGCCTCTTACTTACAGAAATGACTATCATCACATGAGCAGAAAGCATAAGCCAGAAATCTCTTGTTCTTATTTGCTCTGACATTTGCCCCTGTGGCTGATCTACTCCTAGGGACGTACACGCAGGCACTGCCGGCATCTCCGCTTTGCTGTCACCCTGTTGAAAAGAGCCAAACTAAACAAACTGAAGCATCTCTCTGGAGCCAGTTATTGACGCGAACTCTGGTTTTCAGTAGACAAGAAAGTAATGTTTTGTAAATGTTTCAGCTGGGTCCTTTTATAAAAGCAACAAACAGGCTTGTGCTGCTTTGAAGTGCCCTTGTGCTGTCTTCATTCCTTCTTAAGTGGACCCAGATTTCCACACAGATGGTGATAGAACATCATTAGCACTTAAAGGAAAAGCACATCTGGAACCTCTATCAAATTTTGCCACCATTTGGTTCAAATTTCATACGTTGCAAGTAAAACTCCTTTGAGGTGGTCCAAGGTCTTGATAAAACCTAGAAAACACTGAAGTACTTCTGTTCATCCAGCAAGAAGAACTTAGGCCTTCTGCACTGTGGATGCTGGATTTGTGTCCAAGAAATTAGGAATATACAAAAATCTCACTGGTTCTGTACATATCTAATTTTAGCTAAATGCTAAGCAAGCTAACAACATGTTGAAGCTATGTACATTGGCTACATATTTGCTAATGACTGGAAAAAAATAAGGAATTCAATAAACCATCTGAATTGCTTGCAGTTTCTGAGAAATGATCTAAGCCATTTCAGCTCAAAAAGCTTTTCTGATGCATTCATTATACTCTTGTATCCAGGTTTCTAAAGAATTCACAGAAGAAAATTCAGAAACAGATGGATTATCAACATATTCAACAAGTTTTTTCTATCTAGACTTTGATGAGAATGTACGTGAGTCTTCCTGGAGTTATTTGGCAAGTACACTTCCAAAGATTGTCTGCATTTGTATTCTCCTACCAAAAGCACTCAAACTATATACAGAGTACAACTGTACCTAAAATATAAAACTGCTCTTCTCACTAAGAGACAACAAACAACAGAGCTACGCTTAGAAAAGCAACTGATGGAGGTTTCAAGGAAACTCAATCTGTCACCTTGCAGTTACACACATCTAGTCTCTCAGTTTGCTTTGGAGAAGGTTGAGCCTTAAAGTCTAGGTACAAACAAGGCAGTAATTCTCTCCGTAACGTTTGTGCAGATTTCCAGCTGTAGATGAGAAAATTATCTATCTTCCAAATCAAAACTGAGGATGACTTGTTATCTTACCCAAGAGGGTTGCATAAAGACAGGTATGTTCTTCTTCTAAGTAGAGTCTGACACAGGTAGCATAAACTTACTGGCATGTGACACAGATCTGGTTATACAAACAAGCAAATCAACAAAACCCTAAGCCCCCCTCCGCTTTGAAATGTACTTTATTTGAAAACATTAAACTGTGTGTCACACATGTATGTAACTGCAGTTAGTTTTAAGTGTATTGCAGAATTCTCCAAAATTGCTTACATTAATATACAAGGATACATAACAAAGTATTTTATTAAAATAAAAAGCTTTAATACTTTCGCATTTAAGATTTAGCAGAAAATAACTGCTACAAACATGCTACAACGACATACACTTTCAAAAAGTTTTCAGTGCTTTCTTTCAAAGTTCAGCATTTTGGTAAAAATAAGTTTTTCTGTATATACTTCAAAAGTTGGCTATCATAATACTGATATAAAATACTTCATGTAGACTAAGGTCAGGTGCATAAAATACAGTAAGTAATAAAACATACTGTTTGTATAAACATTTAAAGTATAAATTTCATTAGATAACATGCAAATACTGCAATATTTTAAATGGCACTTAAATATAGATACTGAGATTCTTTATAATTTTGCATCCAATATGAGTTTCTGAAATGTACAAAACTATAAAAAGAACATACTTCTTCACTGAAGTCAGGTACTAGTATAGAGCTTGATTGTCATTTTATGAGCACTGAGCCCAGTGTCCTGTAAATCTTCACCAGTCCAGGTAAAGACGTCTACTGAAATAGGCCCACTGCTCATTAGTTTTCTTCATTATAAAATATGAAAGCATATTTACATGAGAACAAACTCTTAAATTTTGGTAAGTAAGTAGCAGCAACTTGTTTCTTCCAAAAAATGATGTTTAAAATAGGTGCATGTTCTTTGTTGTCACTGTTACGCATCTAAGTAATATAGAATTAACATTCTTCAATAAACTCAAAACACTGTTTTCTTCATTGCTGAGAAAAACCCCTGTAAGATCCCTTCTTGCACAAATCATAAGTCCGTAGTATCAGAACCTTCCAAAGTATTTTTGCTTCCAAGATGAATGGAAAACAATCTGATTGTGCTGAAACAGCCATCTGACTAGTAACCAATAAAAGAATAATCTTTTCAACATTATTCCAAATACAATAGTTCTTCATTGAAAAATATTAGTTCATGAAATCTTCTACAATTTTTGTTTCCTGGTTTAGTGACCAACAATTCTGAAAGTCCTTCACAATATAAACAACTGCCATATTCATGCATTAAGCAGTTACATATAATATATTAATGCTGACAAAGTGAATAAAAGGCTTATGAACAGGGAGTGCAGAACTGGCACCACTTTAACAGAAGGAGAAGAAATGCTAAATGAAACTTGTACTTGAGACGCAATTAGAGCTGACAGTGGCACATGTGATGCTAATGTTGGACTGTCTGAATTTATCAGTGACTCTATCTTTTCTGCTTCTTTATTGCAGGCTTCAATCTAAGGAAACAAAGAAAAGGTTATTATTTCTCTTTTTGCCATGGAAGAACATATCCTCACTGGTTTTGCACAGGTTAACAAGCAGAAAGTAAAAAATTAATCAACAGTTCCAAGATGATAATAATGCAACACATAGGTAAAGCCTTCGTTCTATTGCTCGTAACTGTTCCTAAAATAATACTGTAAGAACTCTGAGCTGCATTTGTTGGCTTACCTCTAGACTTGAGTAGCGTGAGCATTAGGTTTTTGTTTGCTAGCATGAACTAGCTATGACACAGCAAGCTGGGCAGCTTATCAGAATGTTATTTCCTTTTTAGTGTCGTAATAGCATTTTGGGATCTCCCAGCACTTTTTACCGTAAAATGGAAAGGAATATTAAATCCAGGATGGTCTCAGAGTAGTATTAACAGATCCTCTCTGGTATGAACAACTGCTTGACATCAAGATGCTTACAACATATTAATAAGATCAGTATACGTGATGTGCTTCAGCCTAATATCACATATGCTTCAATCTACTTTAACCTTGACACCAGAGACAACCATTTCATATGCAAGTATACATTTAACATAATTAATATTCATGGAAGAGGCCAGTAAAGATATTTTATTTTTATCAGTTTACGTTTTCTGTTGTTTTTGCCATAGAAAGTTGAGGGTTCCGCATTTATTGATTTTAAAACAAAAATGATACTACTTTACCCTTGGCCTTCCTTCACCTCTCCCCTGTAATTACCCACACGCAAAAGCCTCTTATGAGAAAAGCAGAATTCTCAAGACACATTTTACCACCCGTAACAGTAGCCACTCAGATTTGGGTCAACAGAGAAATCCCCTCAGATTCAGTACACAAAACCCCACACAATTTAAAACCTGCTATATTGAAAAATTGTGAAGTGTACACACATGAAAATGAAGTCCATGCTGGGTGAACAAAATAACATTGTTTACCTGCAGTGGTTTGGGGTTTTGATCCACAGGAATGATGAGAATCACAATTTCAGATTCTATACTTAAGTATCCAAACACATCACACTGTGGCACTGAGACATGCAGGCGGATTTTTTCAAGTATGTCAAGTACTGTTATAGGCTTTTTATTTGTTACCTGGAACAAAACAAATTACTTCATGCATGGTATCTGTTACAGCAGCTTGTACTCCCATGCTGGGAAACAAAAGGCAGAGCAGCCCTACCAGCTGGCACTCCTTTACCATCACAACAGCCCATTCCAAGAGCCACCAGAAATGAAGAGCTGTGGTTTTGTGAAGACACAGATACGTCTATAAATATGAAAACATGGGACATTTCAACATCACTACGTAACTACTGGGTAAACACATTTTTTTCTTAAAATTCTCATCTCTGTTCTGCTGTCTGTATCTGACAGTTTGATTGTAGACGCTCAGTCTGTTAAAGGAATGCCACACCTTTACTCCAGGTCACTTCTGGATGTGTTTAACAACATAGATAGACATCAACACAAATACTTGTGACTTCCTGTCATCCTATTGTGTTCTGTTTTCTAGCTTCAACTTCAAGAAATCCATCCTTCTTACCCTACTGCAACTTTGTTTCTTTTAAGACCCCTGGTGCAGGACCTTAACAAATGGAAAACTGGGAAATCTTATTAAGACTACATGAATCAAATTTGCAAGCTGTCACACAACACTTACATTTTTACCAGATCTTTGAGGGATTTGTGCATCATAGCCCCATTAAAACGTAGTCTGACACTCTGACTGATTAGCAAATCCTGTTCAAACAGTCTTAGAACAGAAGCACATGGATACTTCAAGGGTGATGGGTAATGTCAAACTTAGATTTTAATGTCTTAGGTCAGAAATCTAGTAGATCATATTAGCATTTCAGCAATCTCTATTTTTTTTTCTCTGTATAGATGCTGTCTTTTGTTTCCTGCTGTCTTTACAAAAAAGGCCAGAAGGGGGAAGGTTATGTAAAGGAGGGGGGAGGGAAGGGAAAAACGTCAATTTGTAGAACTTTTTTTCTCAAGTTTTTTCTCATATGAACCACCTGTCTGAACTAAGATAGGCATACAGTGCTGCTCCTTGCCTTCTTGGTTTGGTTAAAGTGTGTGTTAGCATTCCTAGCAATGATTTCATCTATCTGAGACTTAAACATCTCCAGTAGGATGGATGCATATGCTATATATACATACACTGTCAAAAGAGCGAGCTGCACACCAGTCCTGTAGCTTTATTGATGAAATCAGAGGAGATCAATATTACTAACATTAAATTAATGTAGATGAAAAAAGTATCGAATCTACTCAAATACACAGCTGAGTATTTTCTATGGTATTATTAGGAGATATTTGCTGGCTAGAATAACAAAGGCACAGAGCTTCTAACTCCCTAAGCTCAGGGTAGTGTCACACCAGGCAGTCTCTAGGTGGCTGTGACCAAGTTCGAGATGGTCTCTGGGGGCTTATTGACGACCCCTGAATGAAGTTTTCAAAGGAGAAGGCTTCAATCAAACTTCAGTAACTTCTAGTATTTGCTAAGAGAATGCTGACTTGAATGTTTGAGAGATCACATATTTTACATGTAAAGAGATACATACGTTTATAGGAGTTCTGAAAACTTGAAGACTGTGTATTGTGGTGTTAGATGAGCAAGACGAGGAAGTCAGCAAGACTGCCCTGCCTCTCCTCCCTGAACTAGAGTCCAGCAGCATTCAGCTGGTGGAAACTACACTCCTGGGGGTGTTACAAGTCAGCTGAGCAAGCTGCTTGAATGGGAGCTAACTTGCTTTGAGGGGGAGCTAACTTGCTTTGAGCAGGGGGTTGGACTAAAAGATCTCCAGGGGTCATGCTCAGGTTAAATTACTCTATGTTTTGACAGTTATCTCTACTTCTAAAGATACAAATTAATGCGATTTTATGCTGTTTTGGTGAAATTATTTCTTGATATTTAAAAATTGTAAATTGTGCAGATGCAAGCATGAGTTATTTTGCTTTACTAGTCATGATCATATTACTCTATTTTGTTGTGATCGCATGCCAAAAATCAAGCATTCTGCTCTGTTCCATATACTGAAGCATAAAAGCAGGGGTCAATGAAGTGCAATCCTTTTATACACCATATGGGGAGTCTGTTGTGTAGCATGTTGTATTCACTTATCAACATGAGAAGAGCCATCTTACACTGGAGGTTTTCAGAAAGCAGCAATGAAGGGATGCTGTGTCTAACTTAAGGAGATGTTAAATTAAAATCGAGCATTTTAGTTGATGAGCAGCAAAATCAGTCACAGCTATCAAGGTAACCCAAAGAATGTAAACCAATCCAATTTAAAACATAGACAATGTCAGAACTAAGTTCCCTACATTAGGAAATAGTGAACTAGCAAAATAATCTTAACAGAAAGGCCATAAATAACAAGTATATGCTGTCTTTTACAGCCATGGGATAGATTCATTTCCCATCTCATTTGTCTTTACTACTAGAAGACATTTAAATTGCAAACTTGAATGTGCTTGTTTGTGCCTACTCTTGTTTTGCTTTGCATTCTAATTCAATTTCTACACCTCAAATTGTGAAATAAAGTATAAACAGTATAAAGAAAAACCCAAACAACAAATCACACACTACCTGCTGAAAAATAATTGGTTTTATAATGTGTTAGCTGTTCAGGAGAGAGTATACAGTAACTTGGCTTTTCCATGTACCATTTAACATGGGGCATGATAAACTACTTACCCTTGCAAAAGTATCCAGCTTGTCTTTGTCATATAAGATTCTCAGCATTCCAGCACAGAGTGGACAGCATGCTCCTATGTGAATAAACAAAAATATCAGAAAAAAAAAAAAAAAAAAGGAAACAGACTTCTCTTTCAGGTAAAGAGAGGTCAATAATTAAATGTTAACTGAGAATGGAAATAGCAAAACTAACAAAGCAAAGTAAATGTTTCAATTTGACAGCAGAATTGCACTATTTCTAAGATTTTTTTTAACGTTGAAAACATAATGCAAAAGCAATCACCTTTCAACACAGAGTTACTACTATCAACATGAAGCAACAGGATGAATTTGCATTTGTTCAAAGAGGATACGTTACTGTAAGCTAAGAACCACAGGCACTTTGTGTGCAACAAGACAAGGATTTGTATGGATGCATGCAAATGCACCTACAGAAATAATTCAAGAGCTGAAATAGCTAGGACATGACAGCAACAATTATGCACATTGCAAACATTAATTTATGTAATGATACCATGTTGGTGATCAGAATATTTATAAAATAAGGAGGGGAAAATGTCTTGTCTGACAGATTTGTATTTAACACAGAAGCATGTCCTATTTCTTCTACTGTCCTTCTCACCCTTTCAGAAACCAAAGGGCTAGTACTTCAACTTTCTACCATAACTGTGTATTTAATTTACACTCCCCACTTATATGTAATTAACATTCACAGTGATTTTTATGATATTAAACATAATACCAAAGCATGAACATCCCTTTTCAAGCCTGTAAATGAGAAAAATGCATAAAACTCTTCAAAAACTAAGCTTGCTTTGCTCTGTGTATTATGTGTTGATAGTTACTGTTTCACAAAGGAAGTATTTGTGATAACAAAAAACCCCACAGTTCAGAAGAGCACAACTGCAGAACTATTCATACTGTTCCTCTTTCACAGCACTGTAAATACATATGGTATCTTACTCTGTCTTCTAATTAAATATCATCTTTGTTCTTCTGGGAACTGTATTGTGATGACAGTTTGGCATTCCAGTGTGGTATCTCTGCTGCCACTTATTAAAAATTACTCATTTGATTCCCAGTGACATTTTACCCTAGACACTACAGACGTCATTTGTTTCCCCCAAACCATTCCTATGGGTACAGCTGCAAGTTTCTAGGCTGAAGGAGCATGGCTCCTAAAGCCAGGGCCTTTCCCCCTCAGAATTACTTGGATGAGTCCTTATACTGGCTTGTTCTAGCTGTAAATGAAGATCTCTATTTCATCCTTTGTCTTAGAAGTCTCAAAGACATTATGGAACATAATATTTTAAAGCATAAGTTTTGTTCCAAATATACACCTGTTTATACACATAGCCTGGAGACTCCTACCTGCAGTAAACTTCAACAACAAATTAACATACCTGGTGCAATAACTGGTTTGCAGCCAGTAGCAGAAAGCTGGGGACATTTAACAAAGGCACACTCCGTATGAAAACTGTAGTCTGAGAGAACACCTACAGCCTGACAGTGTCCATAATAGTCAACAGCCACACGGTCAGAATAGGCAGCACAGACGCTGCTGTAGGTTTCACCATTATGTCCACATACAGGTTCCACTGATCTGCAAAACGGCTGAAAAACACAGAAATGTTTCAAAGATCAATTTATTCATGCTCTAGAAACTTCAGAGTAGTTTCAAAATTAGGAAAAACAAAGTTAATGGGAATTTGCTGCTAAGATGTCTGTCAAGCGTTCAAAAAAGTAGGAAATTAGCATAAATAATGTGCCAGTTTATGAATGGGTAATAAATGCAAAGAGTAAGTACTTAAAGGAGGTGACAGAAAAATGTAAGTTGGAATCTGTGAAACGTACAGTAAGACATGTTTTGGGAAACAACAATTTTTTTCTGTGTTTCTGCTTAAATAAAATGACCATTTAATCTACATTCACTTAAGTTAATCAGAGATTATTATAATTTGATTATGCAATAAAGTATATTTTATTCATTTACCAGTAAAACATTATTAATATTTTAATGTCTTATTAATAACTTACTTATGCCTTCCTCTCCATGTGTTTTTGTGTTCTTAAAATCTAGTGTGTGCATGTATTTCTAAGACATTGAGAAGCTATGTTTACTTCAAAAGAGTAAGATCCATTGTAAGATACCTCTGTCAAAATATTTCTTATTAAGACCTTTACAGCTAAAAAATACATTTGTTATGTCCTTTTTCTCTCAGAAAAAGGTATCTAGCATG